AAAATTACATTTCAAACAGACAACAACAGGTTCTTGTTAAAGGTGTGTATTCTAATATAGGTTACACAAATGCTGGTGTACCACAAGGAAGTGTGTTAGGTCCTCTGTTATTTTTGTTTATATTAATGATATTGTTGATAATTTAAATTGTATTTCACACTTATTTGCTGATGATACCTCTTTGATGTATTCTTCGTCTTCTCATGCTGATATTGAAATGTGTGTAAACAGAAATTTGGAAAAACTTGACAAATGGTCACAGGACTGGCTTACTAAATTTAATCAACAGAAAACTGATGTGTTATTTATATCTAATTCACGAAATATATNGATGAATTCCCAATTAAGAAAAGCTTTTCAGTTACGAGACCGGTTACATAACGCCGTTAAACGTGTTAAGTCCATATCCCAACTTAGAGAAATTCNAAAATGGTCTTTACATATTTCCGAAATTCAAAAAACATGCATGAAAAAGGTATCAGTACTACGAAAGTTTAAATTACTGTTGAGTAGGAAAACTTTGTTAAGAATATATAAAGTATTTGTGTTGCCTGTGTTGGAATATGCCTGTGAAGTTTGGGACGGTTGTTCTCTGGCAGTTCTAACTAAACTTTNAAAGCAAATATTCTAAATAATTATTTTAGCTCTATCTCAAACATAGATGATATTGGCAAATCTTTACCCAGTTTTGATTCCAGAACTGATTCTGTACTTGATTCTATTGTGGTTGAAAGTGATGAAATATGTGATATTTTGAAAATTCTGAAATTAGGAAAAGCATCTGGTCATGATACTGTAAGTCATCATATGCTAAAATTTACAGCGNTTCATGTAGGAAATCGAAAACTAAATATTTTACATACACGATTGCGTCATTCATGTAGTAGTTTAAATTATGATTTGTATAGAGTTAATATTGTAGGTGATCCAATGTGTGCATGTGGAAATGAGTGTGAAAATGCAGTCCATTACTTTTTTGATTGTATGCTGTATATCAGACAAAGACAAATTTTGATGGATGATATCTCACGTTATTGTGATATTTCTCTAAATGTTATTATGTACGGTTCTCCAAATTTGTCAGATGAAGACAATGAAAATATCTTCCATATAGTCCAAACCTACATTAAAAATAGTAACAGATTTTAAGGTCAGTAGTATTATCCTATCATCTCTCTTTCTTATTCTTCTAAATTTCTTTTCTTCCCTTTTCCCTTCCTTTCTTCTTTGTTCATATATATTATAAATATATTTGTTGTTGTTGTCATGTAATCAATATAATGAAATGTATGGGAGAGGGCGTTTCTAAGTTGAGATCACTTGTGCCTAATCCTTTTTGTTGAATGACAAATAAAAAAAATGTTTAAATCAACAACATTAATGCTGACCACTGGGTCACTGACAACAGTAATGCTGACCACTGGGTCACTGACAACAGTAATGCTGACCACTGGGTCACTGTGATTACACATTTCCCAGTGAAGTCTTGATATTGTGTCTCTGGTGTCGATATAAAATCATCATGCACATGCACTATTGTTTACCTGGTGTTACTATAATTTACACTACAGCATTGAAATGCCCGTTACGCAACACGGAAATGATGACACAAAAATACGACAAGAAAAAATGTATTACAAAGGGTGGAAAGTCCTTAATACTGACCATTGGGTCATCATCAATCACAGGGAAGCCACAGCAACACTCAGCCTTAAGTATGTCCAAAACATGGCCGACCTTCACTTTTGGTTTGAATGATGTGAGTGGCTGGCACATCACCTCACTAAAAAATATAAATTGATTTAAGACAACAAAAAATATCACCATAAAAACATCATTACATGGAAACTAAAATCACCATGGTAACATAAAAGTAATTACCAACTACAGGAAGAGAAACGGACCGGAATTGAGACAAGAGGCCCAAGGGCCTTGACGGTCACTCGAGTTATATTATAGGTACTGGTAGCTCAATTTCATTGTTTGAGATGTGATGTGGAAATCAACATGTAAACTAAGTGAAGTACAATACTTGTCATGTCGTCAAAGGATAAGAATTTTAAAAATATTGGTAAATTTTTCCTTTAGGGCCCCGTCCTAGCCCCTGGGGATGGGGTAGGAATCCCAATTTTACTATGTAATACCCTAATCCACCAAAGATGATTCAGACCAAGTTTGAATAATTTTCTGCTGGAAATGGATAAAATATACCCAAAAAGTGTTATTTCCTTATATAAAACTATAGTAAACATTACCCCCTCCCCAAGGGAGAACGGATGGCCCGGAGGTTCTGAATTCAAAATTTACAATTTGAATAAAGCCCCATATGATTTTTCACTCCATTAATTCATCATAGATCAACACAGAGAGCTAGGTTTCAGGAAACAATATAAAGGACTCGCCTTGCCCTGAGATTGTCACAGAGAATTTTTCAAATCAGGAGTATATAGCTCACCTTTATCCGAACTTGTCATAGAGGGGCGGGTTTAAAAAAACAGCAAGGGTAACAACTCGCCATGCCCCGAGGTTGTCACAGAAGGGAAGGGGTTCATGAGACAACAAGGGTAAATTACCCACCTTGCCTCAAGTTCACCACAGATAAGTGGGAGCCCATTGCACACCAGGGTTATACCATTCACCTTGCCCCGATCGCGAGGTCATCATAGATAAATGGGTGCCCATTTCACACCAGAGGTATAACACTCACCTTGCCCCGGGTTTTTCCCAGAAGGGCTGGGTTTCAGGAGACACGGGTATACCACTCACCTTGCCCCAGGATTTTCACAGAAGGGCTGGGTTTCAGGAGACACGGGTATACCACTCACCTTGCCCCGGGATTTTCACAGAAGGGCTGGGTTTCAGGACACAGGGGTATACCACTCACCTTGCCCCGGGATTTTCACAGAAGGGCTGGGTTTCAGGAGACAGGGGTATACCACTCACCTTGCTCGGAGATCATCACAGAGGGGCGGAGGTTCACAAGGCAGCAAGGGTATTCCACTCACTTCTACATTCATGTCATATAGCCCCTGGTAACACAATAGGCAGAATAACTGTAAGACTACATCTCAGTGATCATGTCAAACACAGCACAACTTCTCTGGGCTACATCATGGCTACAACAAACTACCTATACAAGTACTGTTAATGTGCACATTTATGTATAAGTCTGTCCATCTAATATTTCAATATAGGCTCAGGAAACTTAATCATTATTAATGGGGTAAACATTTTCCTGTTTGCTTCATGGACCGGATGAAATTTGCAGGATTTATTTATTTCATAAAATAATGTTAACAGTGAAGAGCTTTTAACTCTTTATAGAATGAACAATGATTAAGTGGGTTGTAGTTTTTTGTACATTTTGCCATGTACTGTAATTGGCAGAGTGTCTACAGGTCTAAAGTTCTGGAGGTCCTGGGTTTCGAACCAGTCTGGCTGTGCATTTTTCTGTTCCTATTACAATAGCATCCTATTGTAGACAGACCCCCGTTGTACCCAACTAGCTCATTTCATTAACCTCATGTAGCTTTCAGTCCAGTGTGATGGACATCTTACCGTGGTTATGAAGTCCCCGACCCACTTGGATATCATAAGCACGATCATGATGGGCAGACCAAATGCCACGTCTCCTGTACACTCCACTATGATCACAGTCAGGCTGATGGTCGTACGTAAGATACCCCCTAGTTGACTGGCCGCACCTATCAACGCATACTTCCCCACATCCATTTGCTGGAAAATGATACAAAATGCACTGTGAATACAAAGTAAACTTAATAAACCTAGGATGTAAATCAAACGTTACATTTTGTACCGGATTCAGTGGTGTCGTTGCTCATCATTTCTACTTTCATTTGCTCTGCTTTCCCTGATGAGCACTGTTGAATACCATTAAGGTATCCACCCCAGGATCCCTACCGCCACTATGGAACTGAATTCCTTGCAGGGACGTTGCGTCTCCACCCCCCAGTTGTTACTATATATAGATCTAGTTAGGGAAATAAGTATTTAAGCATTTATATAAAGTTGTAGCTAAGTTAGTCGATTAACATGCCTTTCAACACAAAAGGTTCATTTTAATGGCAATAAAATAGCGAAAAAAAGGTAAATCCTGCATCAAAATACTTAAAGTTTGTATCAACCACAAAACATTCACAAGCATCCCCAGTCTTCGTCAGAAACCTTTATATACAGTTTTGATTACTGCAGCTGCAAGACAATTGTGTAATCAAAGAAGCTGAAATTATTTTAAAGAAATGTTTGAACTTTCCTTCTTCGCTAGCCAGGCGTTCGCTAGCCAGGCGTTCGCATTGTATACACTCCACTTACCCTTGGCCGATATAGCCGTCGCCATTACTGTTTTCCTTCTTTGCTAGCCAGGCGTTCGCTTTGTATACACTCCACTTACCCTTGGCGGATATAGCCGTCGCCGTGAATTTTCCTTCTTCGCTAGCCAGGCGTTCGCTTTGTTTACACTCCACTTCCCCTTGGTGGATACAGCCGTCGCCGTGAACTTTCCTTCTTCGCAAGCCAGGCGTTCGCTTTGTATACACTCCACTTACCCTTGGCGGATATAGCAGTCCCCTTGAACTTTCCTTCTTCGCTAGCCAGGCGTTCGCTTTGTATACACTCCACTTACCCTTGGCCGATATAGCCGTCGCCATTACTGTTTTCCTTCTTTGCTAGCCAGGCGTTCGCTTTGTATACACTCCACTTACCCTTGGCAGATATAGCAGTCGCCGTGAACTTTCCTACTTCGCTAGCCAGGCGTTCGCTTTGTATACACTCCACTTCCCCTTGGCAGATATAGCAGTCGCCGTGAACTTTCCTACTTCGCTAGCCAGGCGTTCGCTTTGTATACACTCCACTTACCCTTGGCGGATATAGACGTCGCCGTGAATTTTCTTTCTTCGCAAGCCAGGCGTTCGCTTTGTATACACTCCACTTACCCTTGGCGGATATAGCCGTCGCCGTGAATTTTCCTTCTTCGCTAGCCAGGCGTTCGCTTTGTATACACTCCACTTACCCTTGGCGGATATAGCCGTCGCCGTGAATTTTCCTTCTTCGCAAGCCAGGCGTTCGCTTTGTATACACTCCACTTACCCTTGGCGGATATAGCCGTCGCCGTGAAGTTTCCTTCTTCGCAAGCCAGGCGTTCGCTTTGTATACACTCCACTTACCCTTGGCAGATATAGCAGTCGCCGTGAACTTTCCTACTTCGCTAGCCAGGCGTTCGCTTTGTATACACTCCACTTACCCTTGGCGGATATAGCAGTCGCCTTGAACTTTCCTTCTTCGCTAGCCAGGCGTTCGCAAGACAGGCGTTCGCATGGTATACACTCCACTTCCCCTTGGCCGATATAGCCGTCGCCATTACTGTTTTCCTTCTTTGCTAGCCAGGCGTTCGCTTTGTATACACTCCACTTACCCTTGGCGGATATAGACGTCGCCGTGAATTTTCTTTCTTCGCAAGCCAGGCGTTCGCTTTGTATACACTCCACTTACCCTTAGCGGATATAGCTGTCGCCATTTCTGTTTTCCTTCGTCAACAGCGCTATAGGTAAAACGCAATTTCATTGGATGTGAGCGATTGGCACCGCAGGAAAATTTGAAGGCCCAGTAAACACAGCTATATCCGCCAAGGGTAAGTGGAGTGTATACGAAGGGATTACTTGGCTAGCGAAGATTGAACTTCCATACAACTTCCCATAAAAATATAATTTCTAGCAACAACAGTAAGACATCTCAGTTAATAAAATATAATCAATTATGTAGTTTAAAAAGGGTTTCATTTCGCAACGTGAATTTATTAATGAAAACAAATTGATGGCAGCTGAAATATTGTTTCAGTTTTGACATTTGAAAATGTATGAGAAAAGCATCCAAGTTTATAAATTGATTGGAACAGACTTTTATAGGCTAAATGGAACATTCCAATTTTATTATCAGAAGAGAACACCAGATTGCTATATCCTGATGGAAACATTAGACTTTAGTTGCCTATAGGAAATACGAGACTTGAATAAAATTCTTCATCTTGTGGTCCCGAGGTAGTGTCAAAAGTTCTAAGAGTAATTTCCTTTCTCCTTACAACCAAACATTAATATATTTTTGAGAGAAATACATATTAAAGCTGTTTTAAGAAAAAATAAACAGTCCAATTGCTTAACTTGAATAAAAATTGCGCACTACAAAAGAGATTTGTCATGTAAATATAAATCAGTATCTTCTACGAAACTGTACATATATGTATATGTGTTACATAATATCTGTAAACACATTGATATGCTTGCTAATGAACTAATTTAAATACATCTGTTTTATCATAAACATCTGTTTTATTTAATTAACACAATTGAATTACATGTAACTTGAAAAACAGTTAATGGTAAGCATGCTAGTTTGATATATGACCCTGAGATGCAGTTCGGGCATGTTATACATGTGCGTACACAGCCAGGGGTCTGGTAAAGTCATTATTACACCATGTACAGCGAGACTATCAGGTTACAAGGTTACTGTACTGGTGGTGCACACTGTCACTATGTATACACACACCACTGCTATCTCCCTACTCTGACATCATCTACACAGTCATGCAGAGATTATTTCATCAGGACTTCTTGTTACATGCATATATATATATCAAAGGCTGACATAAAATAATATACATTACTCATTTCATCAGGACTTCTTGTTACATATATATATTGGTGACATAAAATATCAAGCATTACTAATTTCTATCAAATGGCGACACAAAATAACATACACTTCGCAATCAAATTCTGTGCCCTTTTGTGACATTCTTGCAGCAAATATATACACAGAAATAATTTTAAACTCAATTCCATGTTATATAAATTTCAAATATTAGTGCGTTAAACCTTTGATTAAGTTTAATGATCTTAATGTAAACATTTCAAATGTATTGTCTGAGATATAAGTTGTAACACAATCCAATTGAACAAGACCTGCCAATGTAGTCAGATTATCTCCCCTTTACCAGAACAACAGATCATACCAATGGAAAGCAGTGGTAGCAGTAGGTATACCACTATATCAACATCTTTTATAACTGTCACTCTCTATTAATATAAGACTTACTATAAATATTGATTTTGGATTTGACTGTATGTAAACTGTGTAATATTTGTTGGTAAAATATAACACAATACAACATGTCGAAAGTTACATTTCTCCTCACATGAGCTTACTGAATTTTGCTTTCTAACCTAAGCATTAAGAGTCTTCTATATATATGAAAATGTATTTAATTTCTGTTTAAGATTTTTTTGAACAGAAAAGTGAATATCAACTGTTAAAAAACATTTCACTAGAAACGTAAATTTCTCTTTATAACCACCAATAATTATAGTAATACTCCATGTAACCAGCTTTGTACAGTGTATATACTGACTGAACAACAACTGTATTGCTGTACAATGTATTACCTTGTGTATGACTGGTCTATAACTGTATTGCTGTACAATGTATTACCTTGTGTATGGCTGGGCTATAACTGTATTGCTATACAATGTATTACCTTGTGTATGACTGGTCTATAACTGTATTGCTGTACAATGTATTACCTTGTGTATGGCTGGCCTATAACTATATTGCTATACAATGTATTACCTTGTGTATGACTGGTCTATAACTGTATTGTTGTACAATGTGTTACCTTGTGCATGACTGGTCTTCAACTGTATTGTTGTACAATGTATTACCTTGTTTTTGACTGGTCTGTAACTTTATTGTTGTACAATGAATTACCTTGTGCATGACTGGTCTTCAACTGTATATACTGACTGAACAACAACTGTATTGCTGTACAATGTATTACCTTGTGTATGGCTGGGCTATAACTGTATTGCTATACAATGTATTACCTTGTGTATGACTGGTCTATAACTGTATTGCTGTACAATATATTACCTTGTGTATGACTGGTCTGTAACTGAATTGCTGTACAATGTATTACCTTGTGTATGGCTGGCCTATAACTATATTGCTATACAATGTATTACCTTGTGTATGACTGGTCTATAACTGTATCGTTGTACAATGTATTACCTTGTGTTTGACTGATCTATAACTGTATTGTTGTACAATGTATTACCTTGTTTTTGACTGGTCTGTAACTTTATTGTTGTACAATGTATTACCTTGTGTATGACTGGTCTATAACTGTATTGCTGTACAATGTATTACCTTGTGTATGGCTGGCCTATAACTATATTGCTATACAATGTATTACCTTGTGTTTGACTGGGCTATAACTGTATTGTTGTACAATGTATTACCTTGTGTATGACAGGTCTATAACTGTATTGTTGTACAATGTATTTCCTTGTGTTTGACTGGTCTGTTACTGTATTGCTGTACAATGTATTACCTTGTGTATGGCTGGTCTATAACTGTATTGCTATACAATGTATTACCTTGTGTATGACTCGTCTATAACTATATTGCTATACAATGTATTACCTTGTGTATGACTGGTCTGTAACTGAATTGCTGTACAATGTATTACCTTGTGTATGGCTGGTCTATAACTGTATTGCTATACAATGCATTACCTTGTGTATGACTGGTCTATAACTATATTGCTATACAATGTATTACCTTGTGTTTGACTGGTCTGTTACTGTATTGCTGTACAATGTATTACCTTGTGTATGGCTGGTCTATAACTGTATTGCTATACAATGCATTACCTTGTGTATGACTGGTCTATAACTATATTGCTACACAATGTATTACCTTGTGTTTGACTGGTCTATAACTGTATTGTTGTACAATGTATTTCCTTGTGTTTGACTGGTCTGTTACTGTATTGTTGTACACTGTATTACCTTGTGTATGACTGGTCTGTTACTGTATTGTTGTACAATGTATTACCTTGTGTTTGACTGGTCTGTAACTTTATTGTTGTACAATGTATTACCTTGTGCATGACTGGTCTTCAACTGTATTGTTGTACAATGTATTACCTTGTGTATGGCTGGTCTATAACTGTATTGTTTTACAATGTATTACCTTGTGTATGACTGGTCTATAACTATATTGCTACACAATGTATTACCTTGTGTTTGACTGGTCTATAAATGTATTGTTGTACAATGTATTACCTTGTGTATGGCTGGTCTATAACTGTATTGTTTTACAATGTATTACCTTGTGTATGACTGGTCTATAACTATATTGCTACACAATGTATTACCTTGTGTTTGACTGGTCTATAACTGTATTGTTGTACAATGTATTACCTTGTGTATGGCTGGTCTATAACTGTATTGTTATACAATGTATTACCTTGTGTATGACTGGTCTATAACTATTGCTATACAATGTATTACCTTGTGTATGACTGGTCTATATGTACTGTTAGTTAACACAATATTTACATATACATATGGTATTTAACATTTGTACATACTTTATAAGTCTTATCTAAACTAAAACACACAAGCAAAGGTCCTAAAGGGCCTGCTGACTAACAATACAATACTTAATTTACCATACCTTCATCTATGACATGATTCCACAACACTGACCATCTACAAGCAAACTATTACCTCACTCTCAATTATATTACACATACAAATATCTAAATACTAAGTGATTTCTGAAGAATTCATTTTGAGGAGCCCTGGATCACGTTTCAAAAAGCTATTGAATCCAGTTACTGAAACTAGTTATTGTGGGTTCTTATAATGTAAGCAAGTCCCACAGGAAAATCACCATCAGTGATCACGTATATGAATATATGTGTGTTAGTGTTTAAATATCAAGACATATTTCTAGAAAAATATCTATATCACCACTGAACATTAGTTCTAATGGACAGGTTCTATTTATGACAAGTCATTAACGGTTCCAATGTCTTAGGGAAATAAACAGGAACTTCAATATTCAGTTTTCCCATTGAAATTATTTTATGTTTTTTTTTTGTTTAAATATAACATTCATGCCTTTAAGAGCTACATTTTTATATGTTGATTTAATGAGTTTTGCAGACTTACATCACCTTTGATATTTCAAATTACAGATCAATATTATACCAGCAGAAAGCAATCACTTGAAGCTGAAGATATGAAAAGTCCTTTGATATTTCCATTTGAAAGTGAAAGAAATGAAAAATTAAAACACATTAGAGAAAATCTGAAAAATAAAAAATCCAAGATATTGAGTATGTTTGCAATAAACAAATGTAATTTCTTTTAAAACATTACGTTCCATTGAGTAACTATGTAACAGGAAGAAAAATATTACAACTGACCAGGCAGGGATGCCAACAACAAAGCTTTAAACTATAGACAAACAGTCAATGGATTCCTTAACCAAAATAGTTAGCTTTAAAAAGAATTTATTTATAACAAATTGATCAGGATTCATGAATACATTAATACACAATCAATTACAAAATGAGTAAAGTATAATCAAAAACAGGTAATTGTTACCGTTCAGTTATAGGTATACAGAAAGCTTAGAGAAAGCAATATTATAGTCCAGCTGCCTTTGATTAACACGGAGCTGTAGAGTTGGAGACAAAGGAGATTGGTTATTGATACATGTACTGACAGACGTGTTGTCACAAAATACACTCAATTATGAAGTCAACGCTGTCTGACTTGGTGATAACACCTGGTAAACCTTCTTGTGTATATATGTTTATAATAAATCCTTGACTTTCTAAGACATTAGAATATTATCACTAGTTGCTTTCACTGTAGTTTTTATACTGACATATTAGAGAAGATTTCCAATATTTCAATATGTTGAATGAAAAGATTATGCATGACCTTTGACCTTTCAAATGATAATTTTAAAAGGTTGCATGATCATGATTCACATTGTAGTAACATAGCCTTCATTTCTTTGAAGCAAAATGGCCCAAATTGATCTATGCCACATTTGGATTATCACTCAATTATGAAGTCAACGCTGTCTGACTTGGTGATAATGTCACAAAATACACTCAATTATGAAGTCAACGCTGTCTGACTTGGTGATAACACCTGGTAAACCTTCTTGTGTATATATGTTCAAAATAAATCCTTGACTTTCTAAGACATTAGAATATTATCACTAGTTGCTTTCACTGCAGAGATGATGCATGACCTTTGACCTTTCAAATGATAATTTTAAAAGGTTGCATGATCATGATTCACATTGTAGTAACATAGTCTTCATTTCTTTGAAGCAAAATGGCCCAAATTGATCTATGCCACATTTGGATTATCGCATTGGGGGATACGCAATACTTTAGTGAGGCCAAGAAACCTGATTAGCTGTTTAACTTTACACTGAAACACAGATTTGAATGTAACCCTCTCTAAGTCATAAAACTCCAAACAAAATTAAGGACACTGTCAACTAGGTAAAAATCATTTAAGCTTAAAATACCAGTCTGACAAAAGGAAACTGAAAACAACATCAAAAGAGGAACACTTAAAAAGAAAAAAGTCTTAAAAAACGAAAGACTTGAAAATCTCAACACAACATAAACATATTCAAATCTGCTACGAACAAGTTTGATTCATGAATTCTGAGGAATGTATCTTATAAGTCTAAGGCAGCCTGTAATTCTGTGACTCTTATGTTGTCTTGTGACTGTTATTAATTAGATGTCTTGTGACTCTGTTAAGTCTTAAGATTCTCAGTGACTCTGTTAAGTCTTAAGATTCTCTGTGACTCTGTTAAGTCTTAAGATTCTCTGTGACTCTTTAAGACTTAACATTCTTTGTGACTCTTTTAGACTTAACATTCTCTGTGACTCTCTTAAGTCTTAAAAATCTCTTTGACTTTTTAAGTCTTAAGATGTCCTGAGCTCTAAATGCTTATAATTATCTAGAGCAGAATCTGGGTAACACAATCCGGGATGAGCCAAATAACTCCTATATAGGTCTGACACGCTGATTTTCCTCCAACAAGCTCTGGTAAAAATGTTTTATTACAATTTACAATCAATAATTAAAACAGCATCAATGACTGCAAATTTTATGAAAATTGTGTTTCTCCTTTCACTAGGTGTCAGCAACATCTCTAGAACTCTTACCGGTCACAGTGCATGTTAGGTTTTTTATACTGTACAACACTTAACAGTTGTAGTTCATTTCTTTGGCAGTTTCACATTTACATATATCCTATTGACAGAATATCGTCCTATATTTGCTGCAATGCAGATAAGTTTGATCCAGTTATACAGTACCGGGTAAGTTACCATCTGGTATGGTACTCTCATTATTATGTCTGAATGACATACACGTTTTGATTACGGTTAACTTTAAGCGATATAAATTGTTTCGTTTACAATCTGCTAAATGTTTTAATAACATGTTTCGTTAACAGACTTTGGATTGTAGCGAAATTGGTGGAAGATTATAGTGAAAAGCTATTGCAAACACAAACAGCAAACACAATTAACGAAGCAGATAAGAAGTCAATAAATGATATGCACTAGAAATGACACAATCAACAACCAATCATGTAGTTAGAACTCTACCTGCCTTATTCAAAGACACCTGTTCGAATGAAGACATATGGTTTAGGTTACAAAGAACATGTCCTTACCCTACATGTACTTCCTCTGTTGTAGCTGCGTAACATTTCTGTCTACTTGTTACATATATTTTATCACTGTTGCTGAACTTCCCTCCTGCCAGCAGATATGCTGCACATAGAGTAATATGTCTAACACTTGTTATAGTAATTAACACCCATTAAACTGCAGTTTATTCTTATAACAAATGTTATCGCACCCTTTTCCCCAGTTACTGTTTTTATCACTGCTCTATGAAATAGAAGTTGAACCCAGCATTCATCCTTTGCGACTGAGTTCAAACTGAAAGTCATCTTAAAGAGTAAATACTTTTTTTTTTAAACTTAACTACATCATATAGAAGTGAGTGATCAGATTTTCCTAGCAATAAAACACAGTCAGTGGTAGGATTTTACTCCAAGTAAATACACTGCAGTGCCAACAATGGACCTTAGAAGTAAAATCAAAATAAATATATCATTAACAAGAGGCCCATGGGCCTTAACGGTCACCTGACATCTGATTCAAATTAGGACTGTCATCCAGGGGCCAATTCATACTTTTCGTTGTTCGGAGTAACCTTGCTGCATCGTCCATTAATTTTTCCTTGTGAACACAATAACTTCAGTAAATATGAACCGATTTTGATGAAACTTTGTATGCAGCTTTGTATCAATGAGATCTTGGATGAGTTTGAATACCGGACCAATTTTACCATAACTTACATAGTTATTCCCTTGGTAATTCTATTATTGTTGGACCCTGTGAACACAATAACTGAAATAAATGGGTGTGACTCCAATTTTGACCCAAGGGGTCTGTTTTGAACAAACTTGGTAACTGTATGTCTTCTGTTCTTAGTTAAAAGAAACAAATAAAAGCGTAAATCAATGATTTATTAAATAAGGGACAAAATTTTAATAGCACAACGTAAGTAGCAAAAATGCGTCATGAATAAAAACAAGAGATCCCAGAGGGATCCTGGCGCCCACCTTTATAANTAGAAGTGAAATTCTAAAGACTAGAAAATGTCTGTAAATCATACATGTACCCTCCCCCCCACCCTGCTCGATTAAATTTACTGTGTTCTTTGATCTTCACAATTATGCAAAGCAACACAACACTAAATTCCCTTTGGTCAGTTGATTCTTTGTTATTTATCAGTGAAAAGATATGAAGTTTGACCTTTTACTCGGTGACTGACACTTGTCGAGTCAAATCTTTGTTTAATTCTGACCAACTTTGCTTCATAATGTCATAAAATGTTCATTAGTGATGAAATCCGATGCTCAGAACTAAGAATTCATCAGTAAAATGATATAAAGTTTGACCTAGATTTTTTACCAAGTGACCTTGACCTTTGGTGAGTCGACTCCTTGTATAATTTTCATCAACTTTGCTTCATGTCATAACAAAATTTTCGTTGTCAACTTGTCCAAGATCTTTTAGATGTAACACTGCTGACAAAGTTTCATTGAACTCCGTCAACATTTATTCAAGTTATCGTGTTGACAAGGTCCAAATTGAACTCTGTCAACATTTATTCAAGTTATCGTGTTTACAAGGTCCAATAATCATATTATAACAAAGGGTAATAACTCTGTAAGTTACTGTCGAATAATTCCCATTTTCTATCTCATCCAAGATCTTATTGATATAAGGCCGCATACAAAGTTTCATCAAAGTTAGTTGATAATTACTTAAGTTATCATGTTCACAAGGTCCAATAATAATATTATTACAAAGGGCAATAACTCTGTAAGTTACTGTCAAATAATTTCCAGTTAGAGTCCAGGATCTTATTGATATATGGCTGCATACAAAGTTTCATCAAACTCGGTTAACATTTACTCAAGTTATCGTGTTCACAAGGTCCAATAATCATATTATTACAAAGGGCAATTACTCTGTAAGTTACTGTCGAATAATTCCCATTTTCGAACTTGTCCGAGATCTTATTGATATATGGCTGCATACAAAGTTTCATCAAACTCGGTTAATATTTACTCAAGTTATCGTGTTCACAAGTTCCAATAATAATAATATTACAAAGGGCAATAACTCTGTAAGTTACTGTCGAATAATTCCCATTTTCAAACTCGTCCAACATCTAATTGATATATGGCTGCATACAAAGCTTCATACAACTCGGTTAACATTTACTCAAGTTATTGTGTTCACAAGGAAAAGTTAACGCACGACTGACGACGACAGACAAAAGACTATCACAATAGGTTACCATGACCTATGATCAGGTAACCTAAAAATTATTTTATCTAAGAAGATAATGTCAAAATAAACACAAATCACATGACAACCCCTGTTGACTTAGCTGAACCCCTAAATCGAGAGTTTAATAGAAAACACCAATCCTGACCAGTCTAATTATACAGGTATGTCTAGCATAAAGGAGGTTTGGTAGAGTAACATACTGACCAGGTGAGTGTTGTCTGGGAACATGTGCACCACCCCGATCCCGATAAGTCGTCCCCACGCAGCTCCGATGGCCAGGGAGGGGATGAAGACTCCGCTGGACACACTGAGGCCGTACGTCCATACCCCAAGGAAAAAGAACACTATTGTGAACACTATGAGACTCACAGGGCCGTGGGCATCTGTAAAAACAAAAGTTCACAGTAATAACACAGTGAGACTCACAGGGCTGTGGGCATCTGTAAAAACAATGGTTCACAGTAATAACACAGTGAGACTAACAGGGCGATGGGCATCTGTAAAAACAATGGTTCACAGTAATAACACAGTGAGACTCACAGGGCGGTGGGCATCTTTAAAAACAATGGTTCACAGTAATAACACACTGAGACTTACAGGGCCGTGGGCATCTGTAAAAACAATGGTTCACAGTAAAAACACAGTGAGACTCGCAGGGCTGTGGGCATCTGTAAAAACAATGGTTCACAGTAATAACACAGTGAGACTCACAGGGCCGTGGGCATCTGTAAAAACAATGCTTCACAGTAATAACACAGTGAGACTCACAGGACCGTGGGCATCTGTAAAAACAATGGTTCACAGTAATAACACAGCGAGACTCACAGGGGTGTGGCCACCTGTAACAAGAGGCCCAGAGGGCCTGTATCACTCACCTGAATATGTTTAAAATAATTGGTATGAAGTAAAGATATAGCACTCCAGGGTAGGTGCTGTAAGTACATATGAAATTTCAGAAAGATCCATCCAGTACTTAAGATATAGCGAGAACAAACTTCAAACAGAGCCCCACCCCTATGCCCCTAGGGGGTAATACCCACCAATTATACAAAGACTAAATATGGAAAAAATCCCTTAATCTTGATGGTCGAAGAAGGATTTAAAAGGTTTTACCTCTATTTCTCCTATTGGCCCCCGCCCTTCTGCCCCCTGGGAGACCACACCCACTGTGTATACAAAATTAAGTCCCCTTGGCCCAAGGATGCTCCAGACTTAATTAGGATAAAATCCCTAAATTCCTATGGTAAAAGAAAGATTTTAAAGGTTTTACCTCTATTTCCCCTATTGGGCCCAGCCTCTCTGCCTCCAGGGGGGTTAGACACACTGTTTATACAAAATTGGTTCCCCTTCACCCAATGATGCTTCATACCAAATTTGGACAAAATCCTGTCATTCGTACAGAAGACGAAGGTATTTGAAGAATTTGCTATGTTTCCCCTATTGCATGGGCCCCTCCCTTCTATCCCAAGGTGGGCCACACTCGCTGTTTATACAAAATTGAGTCCCTTTTGTCCAAGGATGCTTCAGACTAAATTAGGATAAAATCCCTCAATCCATATGGTAGAAGAAGGATTATAAAGGTTTTACTTCTATTTCCCATATTGGGCCCCACCCCTCAGGTCCCAGGGGGGCCACACCCAACGTTTATACAAAATTGGTTCCTCTTCACCCAAGGATGCTTCACATCAAATATGGACCAAATCCTTTTATTCCTACAGAAGAAGAAGGATTTTAAAGAATAATTTGCTATGTTTCCTCTACTGGGCCCGCCCCTCAGGCCCCTGAGGGGCCAGACCCACGGTTTATACAAAATTGGTTTCCTTTCACCCAAGGATGCTTCAGACCAAATATGGAACAAATCCTTTCATTCCTACAGAAAAAGAAGGATATTAAAGAATTTGCTATATTTCCCCTGTTGCGCCCTGCCCCTCAGCCCCCAGGGGAGCCAAACCCACCGTTTATACAAAATTGGTTCCCCTTTACCCAAGGATGTTCCACACCAAATATGGAACAAATCCTTTCATTCTGACAGAAGAAGAAGGATTTAAAAGAATAATTTGCTATGTTTCCCCTATTGGGCCCCACCTCTCAGGCCCCTGGTGGGCCAGACCCATGGTTTATGAAAGATTGGTTCCCCTCCCCTATTGGGCCCGGCCCCCCAGCCCCCAGGGGGGCCACACCCACCATTTATACAAAATTGAGTCCCCTTGGCCCAAGGATGCTCCAGACTAAATTAGGATAAAATCCTTTCATCTCTACGGTAGAAGAAAGATTTTCAAGGTTTTCCCTCTATTTCCCCTATTGAGCCCCACCCCTATGCCCCCAGGGGGGCCACACCCACCGTTTATACAAAATTGAGCCCCCTTGGCCTAAGGATACTCTAGACCAAGTTTATTCAAAATCTACTTGGCCGTTCAGGATAAGTAGCGCTTTAGAGGAAAAGTTGACGGACGGACGGACGACGGACGCTGCGGTATGGCATACCTTTGGACCAGGTGAGCTAAAACTGATGGTTCATATCAATAAGACAGTAAGACGCACAGACCGTGGGCACTTAAATAAATTCCAACTTACCAAATCCGGAAACTCATTAACTCTAGTCCTCAAAACAACCCTCAAATTACCAAACACTGGTCCCTTAATAAAAGCAGATATTTTAATAACCACCTAATTACCCAAAACATATTTATTAACCAACCCCAGTCCTCCAAATAACCCATAATTTACCACACCCAGACCCTTATTGACAGCACTCTTTTTTAAAAACTGCAACTTACTAGATACTTATTGAACCCCTCCACAACTTACCAAATGGGTCGTGAAGAAGTGCCTTGAGACAACCTTCTGGAGTGGTGAGAAATAACAATGACATACTGTTATACTGTCCTTCCTCACAGTGCAACTGAAAAACAGAAACATCACTATCAAAAGGAGAAAAGTGTGGCCAGAATAGCATGAAAAGTGATGATTGTAGATTCTATACTGTTTATAACTTATCAGATTACAGATCAGTCCCGTGCTGCAGTGTCTCGTTTATCAAATTTTAAGTCCTTACTGGAGACAATACAGCGGAGGCAGGGAGATACAGACAAGACACTGGAACCCTAGATATGTGTACACAGTGTACCAGTGAGGAACTGTTGACATACTGTCTAATCTAGTAACAGCACCTTCCTTTGTGTGCTTATAGGTCAAATGATCCAGGATATAAACTGGTTTCCCACACTCTAGCCTGAATCAATTTCAAGCATAAAAAATTACCCATGTTGATGAACATTGGAAAAATCAGCCACAAAAGTAAAAAATCAAGCTGTGAACTTTAAAATTATAATTCAGTATACTACAAGCTGACTATCAAAGGATTGTTAATCCTGTATATATTTCATGTTTATTGTCAGAGTAAATCTGTGTATCAGTGTATAACCTTTTTGATACAAAAAGGCAGATGAATGGGTTCTGGTAGTTTTTTTATAAGCAATTGATGAAAATTGGTGCAATACACATTTCAAACATCAGGGTAAGGATTTTATTCAGTCATATAAACTAGGTACAACGTACTGGATTACATTCCTAACCCTGGGTTAAGATCAGATGACCTACCTTAGCTTTGATGACCTACCTTAGCGTTGATGACCTACCTTAGCTTTGACCTACCTTAGCTATTATGACCTAACTTGTCTGTGATGACCTACCTTAGCTATTATGACCTAACTTGTCTGTGATGACCTAACTTGTCTGTGATGACCTACATTATAGTTATAATGACCTAACTTGTCTGTGATGACCTAACTTGTCTGTGATGACCTATATTATAGCTATCAAGACGTAACTTGTCTGTGATGACCATCCATAGCTGTGATGACCTAACTTTTCTGTGATGACCTACATTATAGCTATAATGACCTAACTCGTCTGTGATGACCATCCTTAGCTATAAAGACGTAACTTGTCTGTGATGACCTAACTTGTCTGTGATGACCTATATTATAGCTATCAAGACGTAACTTGTCTGTGATGACCATCCTTAGCTGTGATGACCTAACTTTTCTGTGATGACCTACATTATAGCTATAATGACCTAACTTGTCTGTGATGACCATCCTTAGCTATAAAGACGTAACTTGTCTGTGATGACCATCCTTAGCTGTGATGACCTAACTTGTCTGTGATGACCATCCTTAGCTATAATGACCTAACTTGTCTGTGATGACCATCCTCAGCTGTGATGACCTAACTTGTCTGTGATGACCTACCTTAGCTATAATGACCTAACTTGTCTGTGATGACCTAACTCATCAGTGATGACCTAACTTGTCTGTGATGATCATCCTTGTCTGTGATGACCAAACTTGTCTGTGAAGACCTACATGAGCTGTGATGACCTATTTTGGGATTACCTATATTTGAGATTGCCTATCTTAGCTGTGATAACCTACCTCAGCTGTGATGACCTGTTTTTGGGATGGCCTACCTCAGCTGTGATGACCTGTTTTTGGGATGGCCTACCTTAGCTGTGATGACCTTTTTTGGGATGGCCTACTTCAGCTGTGATGACCTGTTTTTGGGATGGCCTACCTCAGCTGTGATGACCTGTTTTTGGGATGGCCTAACTCAGCTGTGATGACCTGTTTTTGGGATGGTCTACCTTAACCTGCCTTAGCTGTGATGACCTGTTTTTGGGATGGTCTACCTTAACCTACCTTAGCTGTGATGACCTGTTTTTGGGATGGTCTACCTTAACCTGCCTTAGCTGTGATGACCTGTTTTTGGGATGGTCTACCTTGGCTGTGATGACCTTTTTTGGGATGGCCTACCTGAGCTGTGATGACCTGTTTTTGGGATGGCCTACCGCAGCTGTGATGACCTGTTTTTGGGATGGTCTACCTTAGCTGTGATGACCTTTTTTGGGATGGCCTACCTCAGCTGTGATGACCTGTTTTTGGGATGGCCTACCTCAGCTGTGATAACCAACCTCAGCTGTGATGACCTGTTTCTGGGATGGCCTACCTTAGCTGTGATGACCTGTTTTTGGGATGGCCTACCT